CCACACTTGAAAATCTTCGGGGTATTTCAGGAGCCTACACCAGGAATCTTGAGCTCAAATGTCCATAGTGGCCAGGTAGGAGATGTGAACCAAGAGAGTTGGATTTTATGTCAACACATCAATAGTCTTCGTTCTCACAAAGAAATATGCTTGGTTTTGCTTTTTTCAAACATATTTCCTCTTTGTTTTATTTTCCTGATTTTAATAAGATACAGAGCATAATGTTTAAGTCCAGTCTTAAGTGGCATCAAACACTATACCAGTTAAGGAGTGATGGGGTGAACTGGAGAGCCCATGCCTTTTCATTGATGGGGTTCCATCCCATCAGTTCAATGTGGAACTGCAAGTCTGATGCTGACAGATCTTCTGATTTTCCAAAAGAAGCCAGAAATCAGAATTTGTAAGGAATGGGATATGCTCCATTTTTAACATAGGCAAATCATTCCATGCTTTGAAAAAGCACCATGTGAGTCATTCTGTATCACTGCTGGTGGGTGTGTACACTGGCATAATCTCTAAGGATAGAAATTGGACATTAGCTATTAAAATTGCAAGTGCAATGTTCTTTGACTTGGCACTCTTGCTCTGGGTATTTTTCCTGCAGATATACTTGTGGTGTACAAAATGCTGTGTTCAAGAAAATTTATTGCAGCATTGCTTGCGATATCAAAGATTTGAATTAATCTAAATGTCTACATATCGGGTCCTGGTTAAATACGTTACATTTGCAAAATAATGCTATTCAGCTGCAAAAAAAATGAGATGGTTTCTTAGATATAACATCCATACCATAAGTGACAAATGACAAAACAGAGAAACCGGACTTCATCCAAATTAAAAACGTGTGCTATGGAGGACACTATCAAGAAAGTGAAAAGATAACCCAAGGAATGGAAATACATATTTGTAAATCATATATCTAATGAGGGACTTATATCAAGAACATACAAAGAACTCTTTTAACTCAACAACAAAAAGGTAAATTACCCAATTAAAAATGGACAAAGTGTTTGAACAGATGATGAATGGGCATTTTCCCAAAGACAAATGGCTGATAAGTCATAAAAAGGTGTTCAACATCCTTAGTCATTAGAGAAATGTAAATCAAAACCACAATGACATACTGCTTCACACCCACTAGGATGGCTGTAATAAACAAAAAGAGAAAAATAACAAGTGTTGGTGAGAATGTTGAGAAACTGAAGCTCTTAAATATTCTGGTGAGATTGCAAAATGATGCAGCTGCTGGGAAAAATGACTTGACAGTTCCTCAAAAGTTAAATATAATTATCCTATGACCCAACAATTCTACTACTCAGTATGTACCCAGAATTAAATACATACATCTTAGCAAAAACTTGTACACAGATCTTCTTTATCAGAATTATTCATAAAAGTAAAAATTTACAAACAACACAAATGTCCATCAATTGATAAATGGGTAAAAAATGGAAAATTATTCATCCAAGAAAGTAATGGAGTACTGATTCATAATGCAACAGAAGTGAACCTTTAAAACACAATGTAAGTGAAGAAATCCAAATACAAAAGGCCATCTATTACATGATTCCATTTATATGCAATGTTCAGAAAAGGGAATTCCACGGAGAAGCAAAGTAGTTCCAGGACTGGGGGAAAGAAGAAGGAGGGTGATTAGTAATGGATTTCTTTTTGGGATGATGAAAATGTTCTACGATTTGGCAGAGGCAATGTTTGTCCATCTCTATGAACATGCTAAAAAACACTGAACTGTACACAATAAAATGGTGAATTTAAAGGAATGTGAATTGTAATCTCTGAAAGCTGTTATTTTCAAAAAAGAGAGTGAGAAGTTATACTCCATTTATGTATGATGTATCAAAATGCATTCTACTGTTATGAATAACTAATCAGAACCAATTTAAAAATCTAAAAATAAGAAAAGGATCTCTTTAGTTATTGACAGGAAAACTGTATATGCTAAATTTTGTATGCAAAAGGGAAGTTGGGCAAGAATTTATATTTGTATTTCTTTTTTCTAATCTTGGAGTGGGACCAAGATTTTCCACTTTATTAATCTTTTTAGAATTTTGAAACTTATGAATGCATTATTAATAATTTACCCCTACACCAGTTTAATATTAACTCAATAGACTCAATTATTCTCATAAAGAAGTGGTAAGTTGTGGGCTAGGGTTGTGGCTCAGTGGTGGAGTGCCTACCTTGAATATGTGAGGCCCTGGGTTTGATTCTCAGCATTGCATATAAATAAAAAATAAAGACCCATCAACAACTAAAATAAATAAATAAATAAAATTAAAGAAAAAAAAAAGAAGTGGTAAGTTATGTCATATGCAACTGAGAGTTCCATGAGGCAAGGACTAAAGAATGTCCTTTGGGCTTGACTATAATTAGAGAAGATAATTGATGACTTTTCTAGGACAGAATCAGGGCCTAGTGCGGAGAGAAGCAAATTAGCTCATTGTGTTTTGAAAAGTAAATGGGAATCAGGGAGTTTTTACCAGGGAGTGTAGAACTGTTTGCCACTTGTATATCCAGGCTAGATGAAATATTTATTAAGTAGTTAAAGGATACCTGTTTATTAATTTCTTCTGGCATTTTACATTTTATTCTTGGGTCAGACAGGATCATCAGACAGATATCGTCTTGGTCCCCTGGAAAAAAATGTGTTTAATGTTTTCTGGTTTTGAATGCCCTCTACTTAAACAGAGAGACACATTTGGGCCTTGTACTGCACATATTTCAGAGTTAGGGAAGAGTGTCAAATTTCTCATCTAAAGGAAGACTGTCAAAGAAATATTGTCAGACCTTAGTGATAGAAATTGCCCATTTCCCATGGGCATGATTTATTAATGTTTAATGGAAATTAAGTAAGATAATTTGGCTTTTGTTATGCTGTCAGAAATAAATTTACAGTTTAATTTTTTTAGTGTTTTAGTTGTAGTTGGACACAATACCTTTATTTTATTTATTTACTATTATTATTTTTTAAAATATATTTTATTTTATTTTTTAGGTGTAGATGGACACAACACAATGCCTTTATTTTTTTATGTGGTAGTGAGGATTGAACCCAGGGCCTCGCACATGCTAGAGAAGGGTTTTACTGCTGAGCCGCAACCCCAGCCCTACAGTTTAATCTTAACTCAGAAGACCCATATGATAATTTATCCCTACAGTTTACATGTCTAAATACCAAATACTATTTACCCTGGGGCTTCCCAAATATTCCTAAATATACTTTCCCTGATGTTGTGTTATTAAAAAAAAATGCAATGTCTAAGTTTCTAGCTTAACACACAGATCTTGATAAGTCACTTAAAATTCAGTGCAAAAAAAACTCTCAAGCTGAGCAGGTTGGTGCACACCTGTAATCCCAGCTGCTTGGGATTACAATTGAGGCAGAAGGATTGGGAGTTCAATGCCAGCCTCAGCAACTTAGCTAGACTCTGTGTCTAAATAAAATATAAAAAGGAGCTGGGGAATGTGGCTCACTGGTTAAGTGCCTTGGGATCAATGGCTGGTACAAAAAACAACCAACCAACCAAACAAAAAAGCCAAATCACAAAAACAAGTACAGAACAGAAGTAATAACAATATTTTTCAGGACTAGAAATGAGAAGGGACTTCTGAAAGATTAGTAACGTTATTTTTTTTGTTTTTAAATCTGACTGCAATACAGAAGAGACTGGGGGTGAACCTCAGTGGTAAAGGGCTGGCCTAGCAGGCTTGAGGCCCTGGGTTTCACTCCCAGCACCAGGGGTTGGGGCGGTGGTGGGGAGGCCGGAATAAGTAAATGTGTTAACTCTGTGAAGTTTACTGAGTTGAACAATTATATGTGGAACTTTATGTATACTTTATGAAAAGTTAAAAAAAAAAAAAGTGGAGAATGTAAACAAATCACTCTGTTCTGGATCCACCTTTGGACCTTTCATTTGCGACCTAAGGAATAAGTGCTCAATCTGGCACTGACTCAGTTGGGTTCCATCCTTGTATCCGCTGCCTTCCATTTACCGGTCAAAGAATCTGTAAAAAGCTCGTGTCCCTCCACTCTTCGATCTCCACACTTTTACTATCTGCAGGGCCCTTCTATATCATTTCACTTGATGGAAACCAATCATCTCTGGAGTTCCAACTCCCAGATCGCTTCTTACAGCTCTACTCTGAGATCCCTGCTGAAAACCTTTCTCACATAGCCCCGCCTTTGTCTCCTCCGCCCAGAGCCGCAGAGAACCGTGCTCCGTACAGCTGCTCCGTGAAATGAATAAACCACCGGGTTCTGGTTACGCCTCTCCCAAAGCGCTGTCATCACCAGATGAGACAAACGCTCCAAAAGGACCCGAGAGCGGAGACGAGGTTCGCAGGAAGCGATGTGGAGACTAGCCACCGGAAGTCAGTGGAGACATCAGGCCCGTCACTCTAGAATCCCGGAGGACTGGGATCTCAGTGGTTGGACGAGATGGGTCACTCCCGGGACCAATAAAGTGGGGGCACAATGCCATAGGCTTGAGTACTGAGAAGGAAAAAGGGGCCAAAAGGAGAGGGATTTCGGGAGCTAGTTGTCAAGGTAACAGATCTAGCCTTCGCAGCCCCTCCTGGGGGACACGCTATTCCCAGAGTTTGCAGGACTAGCTGCGATTGGCCCGAGGAGGTCCAGCCGATTGACGGGAGCGCGCGCGCACACGTGCAGGGGCGTTGTCCTCCATTCACACGGCGCCCGAGGATCCAGCGCGCATGCGTTGGAGGACGGCGCGGGGAGGCGAGCGCACCCCTGCGAAGTGCAGAGCCCCCTTTGGGCGGCTCCCGCCGGCGAGCTGGACAGCGGCGGGCACGCGCGGGCGCGCGGGCGCGCGGGCGCGCAAGGATGGAGGCGTGGTTTCCTTAGCTGATAAACTCGATTGGGAGCAGCAAATTGAAGGGGTGGGAACCTCCTCGGAGGCTGCTTAGCGATTGGTCAGAGACTGGAGGGAGCGTGGTCTTGGGGGGCGGGGTCGGGGGGGCCCTGGCTGGGCAGCGGGCGACGCTGGTGTGGTGGTGGCGGCCCTTGAACAAGTGAGCGAGCGAGTCGTGGAGACCTCCTCCGCTGGGGACGGGAGGTCGGCGAGCCCCGGGACCTCCATAAGTCTAAGTCCTGAGGAGGCGTGAGGGTGAGGCGCCATTGGGTGAGTATGGCCCCGAGGAAACCCGAGTGCCCCGCCCCTCCCTTTCTTCCTGGACCGTACCGCACCCTCCCCCAACTCGGACCCCGAGCTGGGCTCTGGGCTTCGGGGTTCCAACTCCCGCTGCAGGATGCCTGCTACTTGCCAGCCTCTCTCTTTTGCCCCCTTTGCCGCCGTGCTCGGTTTGGGGAACTTAAGAGATTCTCCGGTTCTGCTTCCCAGCTCACAGAGGGGAAACTGAGGCCGACGGGGGGCGGACCTCTCCTCACCAAGCGTCTCCATATAGGCATCATGGCCGAGCCCCTAAAGGAGGAAGACGGCGAGGACGGCTCTGGGGAGCCCCCCGGGCCAGTGAAGGCAGAACCCGTCCATACCTCTGCCTCTGTTGCGGCCAAGAACCTAGCTCTGCTCAAAGCCCGCTCCTTTGATGTGACCTTTGACGTGGGGGATGAGTACGAGATCATCGAGACCATAGGCAATGGAGCCTACGGGGTGGTGTCCTCTGCTCGCCGCCGCCTCACGGGTGAGCTTCCTGAGCCTCTCACAGATGTGGAAACTGGTTCCCAGAAGTGGTGAGAAACCTGCCCGATCTCAGCCATCCAGGAAGGAAAGCTGGGCTGTGAATTTTTGTTCAATTCAGCACTTACTGACTAGGTGCCAGGATCCCAGTTAGGCACCATTTTCAGGAACTCTGGTTTTGCTATACTTTCAGCCCATTTCTACTGAGAAAAATGATAGTCCGGTTAGGTCAAGATGGAGAGCTTGTTCCTTGGTGTCTAAAAGAGAGCTGTGTTCCAGAGCAAGAGATTGCATGGTGGGAATGGTGAGCTCTGAGATGGAGAGAAAGTGTAGGGAGGGATAATGAGCCCAGGCATTAGAGCCAGCACTCCCACCAACTAACTGTACAATCTACAAGTTACTGGGCCAAATTTTCTCATCTGTAACTTTGAGCTATTAGTTCATGCCTGGTAAGATAGTTGTGAAGGTAAAATTTGATATTGTAAAGTACTTAGCAAGTTCTTTGCATATGGCAGGTACTCAGTATATGGTAGCTGTTGTTATTTGCATCCTAGAAGGGTGGTGTTGAGAGGGGTCTGTAGTTCCTCCAAGGTACCCTCTGGTATCTGTCTTTTCCCTGCTCTCCAGGCCAGCAGGTGGCCATCAAGAAGATCCCGAATGCTTTTGATGTGGTAACCAATGCCAAACGGACCCTCAGGGAGCTGAAGATCCTCAAACACTTCAAACATGACAATATCATTGCTATCAAGGACATCCTGAGGCCCACTGTACCCTATGGAGAATTCAAATCTGTGTAAGGAGTGGGATAGGAGAGGGAGGCATAATTGGGACTGTTTCAGAAGGCCAGGGACCTTATTGCTAAAATTCTGGAAGGACAGGCTAGAAAATTCCCATGGTTCCAGGACCAGTGCTCCTTTAGGGCATTTTGAGGGACTGCTGTTATTCTTCAAGAAGAGTACAAATGTTACAGTTTTATAGACTATATAGGAAGTCAGACATAAGATGTTCATACTACTATTTCATCTTCCTACCCCTGTAGCAGATTGATCACAGAATACTGTCTTACAGAAAATGGACAAATCTTCACAATTTTCAACATAATACTTCAAGCAGCCACTACCAAACAATGGAGTCATCTCCAAAATTAAACCTACTCTCCAGCCCTGATATAGTTGAACCCCATTTTTTGTGGGGAAACTGGAAGGTCTGGGGAGAAAAGTGATTTAACCAAGTTCATGGAAAAGTTGTAGAGTAATCCAAAACCTGGTGTGCTGCTGCTTCTTTACCATGCTGTCAGCTCTTTGGGGGTCCCAGGGTAACATGGTCTGTGTAGAATCAGGAGGGTCTAGTGAGGATGGGGCTTGTCCCTGTGGTGTGGGTAGGCTAGGACATGCCTCTTTCACCTTTTCCTTTTCAGCTATGTGGTCCTGGACCTGATGGAGAGCGACCTGCACCAGATCATCCACTCCTCACAGCCACTTACACTGGAGCATGTGCGCTACTTCCTGTACCAGCTGCTGCGGGGCCTTAAGTACATGCACTCAGCTCAGGTCATCCACCGTGACCTCAAGCCCTCTAACCTGTTGGTGAATGAGAACTGTGAGCTCAAGATTGGTGACTTTGGTATGGCCCGTGGCCTGTGTACCTCCCCTGCTGAACACCAGTACTTCATGACTGAGTATGTGGCTACTCGCTGGTACCGGGCCCCTGAGCTCATGCTGTCCCTGCATGAGTACACACAGGCTATCGACCTCTGGTCTGTGGGCTGTATCTTTGGCGAGATGCTTGCCCGGCGCCAGCTCTTCCCAGGCAAAAACTACGTGCACCAGCTTCAACTGATTATGATGGTGTTGGGTACCCCATCGCCAACTGTGATTCAAGCTGTCGGGGCTGAAAGGGTGCGGGCCTATATCCAGAGCCTGCCACCACGCCAGCCTGTGCCTTGGGAGACAGTGTACCCAGGTGCTGACCGCCAGGCTCTTTCACTGCTGGGTCGCATGCTGCGTTTCGAACCCAGTGCTCGCATCTCAGCAGCTGCTGCTCTTCGCCATCCTTTCCTGGCCAAGTACCATGACCCTGATGATGAGCCTGATTGTGCCCCACCCTTTGACTTTGCCTTTGACCGTGAAGCCCTTACCCGGGAACGCATTAAGGAGGCCATTGTGGCAGAGATTGAGGACTTCCATGCACGAAGGGAAGGCATCCGCCAACAGATCCGCTTCCAGCCTTCCTTGCAGCCTGTGGCCAGTGAGCCTGGCTGTCCAGATGTTGAGATGCCCAGTCCCTGGGCTCCCAGTGGGGACTGTGCCATGGAGTCACCCCCACCAGCCCCACCACCATGCCCTGGCCGTGCACCTGATACCATTGATCTGACCCTGCAGCCACCTCCACCAGCCAGTGAGCCTGCCCCACCGAAGAAAGAGGGCGCCATCTCAGACAATACCAAGGCAGCCCTCAAAGCTGCCCTGCTCAAGTCCTTGCGGAGCCGGCTGAAAGGTACCTTATGGGTTCAGTGACTGGCTGGGGAGTGGGGTGCTAGTGGGGGGCTCTGGCTTGAACATGGCTGCAGGCTCTTACCTCTTACCTGTTCAACTTCCCTGGAGATGGCCCTAGTGCACCCTTGGAGGCTCCTGAGCCACGGAAGCCAGTGACGGCCCAGGAGCGACAGCGAGAACGTGAGGAGAAGCGGCGGAGACGGCAAGAGAGAGCCAAGGAGCGGGAAAAGCGGCGGCAAGAGCGGGAGCGAAAGGAGCGAGGGGCTGGGACCTCAGGGGGCCCTTCCACTGACCCCCTGGCTGGACTGGTGCTTAGTGACAATGATCGAAGCCTGCTAGAGCGCTGGACTCGCATGGCCCAGCCCCCTGCTCCAGCCCCAGCCCCAGCCCCAGCAACAAGGCCATCCCCAGCCCAGCCCACCAGTCCACCCCCTGGCCCCATAGCCCAGCCCACGGGTCCTCCTCCACAACCTGTAGGCTCCACCACAGGTCCTGCACCCCAGCCTCCCTGCCCACCTCCTTGTCCTGCTTCCCATCCTGCTGGCCCTCCGGGACCCATACCTATTCCTGCTGCACTCCAGACTGCCACCTCCAGTAGCCTTCTGGCCCCCCAGTCACTTGTGCCACCCCCTGGGTTGCCTGGCTCTAGTGCTCCAGGAGTTCTGCCTTACTTCTCATCTGGCCCACCACCTCTAGACCCTGGGGGGGGACCTCAGCCTTCTACATCAGAATCACCCGATGTCAACTTGGTGACCCAGCAGCTGTCTAAGTCCCAGGTGAGGGGAAAGACCCAAGCCTTGGGGACACCTGGATCTGGGCCCAGGGAAAATGGGTTCAGGAAGTTGTCCTTGCTCCATGAAAACTGAGCAACAGGGGTTTTTATGTCTCTGAACTTGTCCTCTTGCTAGAAGAAGGAACAATACCAATGAAGAGGTTGTTGGGAGACAAAATACCTTCTGGGAAGTGCCTGGTCTTGAGATGGGCCTTAGCTGGCACTTGGTGATTACTGAAACTGGGATACCCAAACAGGGTGGTCTGCAGCCTCAGGACCAGGGTGCCCTGCACACCTCAGTCTGCCCTTGCTAGTTTGTAACCTGCCATCATCCCCCACAGGTGGAGGACCCCCTGCCCCCTGTGTTCTCAGGCACTCCAAAGGGCAGTGGGGCTGGCTATGGTGTTGGCTTTGACCTGGAGGAATTCTTAAACCAATCTTTCGACATGGGCGTGGCTGACGGGCCACAGGATGGGTAAGATGGCTGGATCCAGCTCTTGGAATGGGGTGGTGGGGAGGGGCTCCTGGTGTGGAAGAATTCACTTGTGGGATGGGGATGGGTGCAAAGCTGGCTGAGGCTAGCTGTAACCTTTCTCTTTTCCATCCCTGATTCCCTTTCCCTGCAGCCAGGCAGACTCTGCCTCCCTCTCAGCTTCTCTCCTTGCTGACTGGCTTGAGGGCCATGGCATGAACCCTGCTGATATCGAATCCCTGCAGCGTGAAATTCAGATGGACTCCCCGATGCTTCTGGCTGACCTGCCTGACCTCCAGGAGCCCTAAGGCCCATAGCCTTTGCCTTGCCACCAGCTCCGGGACCCAGATTCAGGGCCCATGGGAGCAGGTGAGGCTCAGCTTGGATTATTTTGTAGGTTCATCTCAGACCCACCCTTCAGCCTTAAGCAGCCACCTGAGCCATCACCGAGCCATGACAGGATTGGGAGACCCCTACTCCACCCAGCAATCCTTTTCAGTATGGTATTTTTATTATTGTAATATTATTACACAGTCTTTTTGACATCAAAATGAGGCCTGTGAAATACAAGGTTCCTTTTAATGCCTGACTCCAAGTGTCATTTTTGGAGATGGGGACAGTATACCACCAATAGGGGTATAAGGAGGAGCCAGTTGGGGACCCAAGCAATATTTTTTGTGCACAAAGCCAATTTGTTTAGGTCCATGACTGAGCCTTGCATGCCCTGCCCACTTTCAGCCCCACAGATTGTTTTCTGTGTTCTCACATGGCCAAACCTCAATCCCTGGGGGCAGTTGGGGGACTTCATTTCCATGCCTACCTTGCCCATGTCTACTTCAGGGTGACATACAGTACCTGTGGTGAATACTGTTTTGTCATTGAGCTTTGCAGGGGCTGGGACAGGCAGGTGGTAGAAGCAGTATGGTTGTGAGGTCCATGGTGTTCACCACAGGGGAGAACATTGGTGATAGGGAGGCCAAGGATGGAAGGTACTCTGCAAATAGCCAGAGGGGGTGCCAGGGTGTGGCAGTGGTCATGCATGAATGGCCTGGCATACACCCAGGGGTGGTCAGATTACACTGCTTGGTCTAGAGTATTCCCAGACACGGGCCCACAGTAGAGAAGCTGGCTAAAGTGGGACACACAAGTGCATTCCTGGGAGGTGGCTCCTGGCTCTCAGCTATTGGGACAGGGTGTAGGCAGCTCAGTCTCATGGAGGCTAGCCAGGTCCAGGCTGGGTGACTGTACCTCAGAAAAGGGCTGGGTGCTGCTGGTAGCTAGCTGCAGGTGGAAGGGAGCTCCCAGGGCCTGGCTTAGAAATGTTTGCCCCGGGGTGTGTGATAGGGATCAGCCATGGCTGAGAGTCAGAAGGCCTCTCGAGAAGCTGGTGCTCAGGGAGCAGCAGAAGCAACATAGTGGGGTCCCAGGGCATCAGAGGTCAGAGGGAGTATTCATAGTGATGGGGTTGCCAGGGAGGAATGGAGCCTGAGGGGGCCAGCCCCTCAGGTCCTGCGGATTTTCATCTCGGTGCGCTTGAGGGAGTAGTAGAAGCCCTTCCACTGGGCCCAGTTGATGCCGTTGGCATAGGAAAGGTGGGAGCCACCCAGGTAGAAGCCGTTGAGGTTGGCAAAGTGGCAGCTGCGGAACCAGAAGGCTCCTGAGGACAGGGCTGCACAGTTCTGCACAAAGAGGTCCTGGTCCCGGTCGAAGGTGGAGAACTTCTGGCCGCTGTGGTAGGACAGGGAGTCACCTGGCAGAGAGGAGGAAGTACGGGACTGCTGAGGCAGGGAGCTGAGCTCTGTGCTAGCAGGGAGAGGGTGACAACAGTGAGGGACATACGTGGCATTATGGTGGGACGGGGGCACCCTCTCTGAGCCAAATGTTGGGTAGATGGGCCTCTGCAGCACAGAGAAGCAGCTGCTCCTCCACAGGGTTGCCTGGAGCAGGGCCAGGGTGGCTGAAGCACACACTGGCTGGAGTTGGCTTGGAGCCTGCTGTGGCTCTTCCAAGCCCAGGAGGGCTGAAGGAGGGCCCTGGAGGGGGCCGGCCCAGCCATCTCCCCCAACAGTCCTTGCTAAAGCTTTCAGGAGGGAATACCTGCACCACCATCCTCAAAGCCCGACACATAGAGGGTGTAGCCATCCTCCTCAGCGCTGACCGCATTCGGGGAGATGGAGAAGTCGACATATTTGGCATAGGCTGTGTTATTCTCAAAGTCCTCCAAGTCTACCCGCAGCTCATACTTCTGCTTCAGGGTCAAGAGGTGCATGTTCTGCAGCCCTGTGGGGGATGGGAGCTGGTTAGCAAGGACCTGACTGTGGAGCAGTCCCCCCTCCCACCAGGGCCATGCCTTACCCAGCCAGTACTCCCCGTCTGCACGGCCAAAGCCCAACTTGTAGTCATTCCAGCCCCGGAAGAAACTCACTGAGCCATTGAATCTCTTCTGGAAAACCTGGAGCCGAGAGGACAGGGAAGGGGAATGATTTGAAGGTCCAGTGGGTAGGGGCCTTGTCCTACCCTGCCCACCCAGGCATGGACCCGGCAATGTGAGACTAGCTCATTAAAGGACTGAGAGTTGGAAAGGTTGTTAAAACAAGGTGCACACTGCCACCAGGCTCCTCTTTGAGGGAGGGCTGTGCACTGGCACCTACTTGGGCCCTTCACGCAGTCTCACGAGAGTCAGGAAAGGTAATCAGGGCTGGGGGTGTAGCTCAGTGGTCGAGCTCTTGCCTAGCGAGGGATGTGTGGGTTTAATCCCCAGCACTGCCTAAATAAATAAAGGGGGGTATTCTAGAATTCAAGTGCCTGGGTGTGAGTCCTGGTATTGGCTTCATGATCTAGGGCAAGTAACTTCACCTCTGGGCTTTAGTTCCTCATCTAGAAAAGCAACCACCAGGACTATTGTGATGGTCACATGTGTTAGTGTATCTTAAGCAATTGGTGACAGCTACTCACAAACTGTGCCTTGGGTATCATCATCCCCATTTTTAACAATGAAGAAACTGAGGCTCACACAACTGGGACCACCTACTCACCGTCCACTTGCCACCCTCAGTGGTCATGTCACAGAAGACAGGCACGGGCACGCTGGGGCCTGAGGGGTAGATGAGGTACACACCATCTGTCTGGTAGCCCTGGGCATAGATGTCATCGCAGTCCAGGGGCTGCTGAAGGCAAGACTTCTCCAAAGCTAGGGGGAGGAGTGTGGGAACAGTGAGGCTTACAGCATAGAGAATACCGTAGCACCCACAGCTTTTCCCAGTCCCTGGGGCTAGGGGGCTTTGTTAAATCATGAGATTTGTTTGAGGGGGGACTGCCCAAAGATCATTTCATCCACCTGCCCAACTTTGTGGAGAAGGAAACAACCTTGCAGAGCTGGGCCTCAGCGCTGAGGCCTGGCTTTCCGAACAGCCTCTTCTAGCCCAGCCTATTGGTCACGGTGCTGCATCTGTGACTGGGGGGCTGCTTACCATCTCCCCGGATCCCAGAGGCCTGGGGGGCGCAGGGAGGTGTGGAGAGCAGCAGCAGCAGCGGCGGCAGGGCCAGGAGGGCCTGGTGGCAGGAAACAGAGTCAGCTCAGCCCTGGCCCCAGCCCCAGGCACCCCCTGTTCTCTTTACATTTGCACCATTACACATGCCACTCCTTGCCTGAAACCTTTTCCTGTCCTTTGGTCCCTCTTTGTCTTCCCAAGCAACCCTACTCTCAGGAAAGGCTGTCTACCCTTTAAGCTTAAAGAATTTCTTGCAAGAGATTCTCCTCTGCTTTCACAGTCCCCTCTCTGGCATATGACTTCTTCCCACGAGTGGCCAAGTGGCTTTGGGCCCTCTGATGCCACGAACCCCCCACCCTGGTCCCAGTACCTTCATGCTGTCAGTTCGGCTCAGAGCTGCTGGTGTCTGCGTCCCAGACTGTTAGCTGCCTCGAGTTATGTGCTGGGCCCCTGGCCAGCCGCCCCAGCCCCGCCTCCCGAAGCTGCAGAACCACCCCCCTTCACACACACGACCAGCATCAGCTTACACTACCAGGGGCCAGGGGACCACCTGGGTCTCATTAGGCCTGTCGGCAGAGCACTGCAGACCAGACAGTCAACTCCCTCCTGGCTCGGGCTCAGACTGCTGCCTGGATCCCACTCCGCCAATGGCCGGCTGGACCTGTGGGCCCCTGGCACCCCCAGCTGGCCCCAGCCTGCCTCAGTCCACCCCGCTTCCTGACAGGCCCCCCTGCAGATGTCTGTTTATTCTCTCCCTCCTGTCCTGGGCTGTTTCATCAGCCATTCAGGGGGAGGACTGAGAGGGGAGGTTGGGGGTGTAGGTGTGCCTGGGTTCCAGGAGGGGCCCACTCTAGGGGAGCAGAAGACTGGGGGTGGGAGAGCTTCAGAGCTCCCTGATGTGGGAGTCAGCGTGGGCTGGTGGGGGACAGGGGTAGCAGGGGCCAGGCCGTCTCCTGGCAGGACTGGGACATTTCTAAGCCATGAGCACAAGATTGCAGGCGGCCAAATGCTCTGTCTGCGCCAGCTTGAGCCAGGGCCCCTCTCCAGCCCCACTCCCCTGCTCTGGCCACTTGGGCCCCCTCCTTTCCCCTTCCACAGTTCCCATCTGGGCCACTGTTGTTTCTCTTAGCCCCACCCCTCCTTCCTTTTTCCAAACCCTCACTTTGGTACCCACCCTGAGACCTCAGCCTTGCTCCCAGGCCCCTCTCAACCAGTTTTCTATTTCTTCCACCCAGAGAGCCCACCTCTTCTTTCTTGCCTTTCATCAAATCTCCATCTCTTTCTGCCTCCCAACCATCCTTGTCTCCCATTCCTTCCTCTCTGCTTATTGCTCCAGCTTCTTTACAGATCTCTGTGCTTTTACTTTTTTGTTCTCCTTCCCTCCTCTGCACACCAGAAGAGTTGCCCTAGATGGCTGCTCTGTGTTCCTCTGCTTAAGCCTTCGGTGGCTCCCTGTTGCCTCAGAACTGAGGCTAAATTTTTTACCTTGGGCTTGAAAGGAATGTCCAGTCTGGCTCTGACCTACAGCAGGCCTCCCTTCAGGACTTCAGGATCTTATCACTTATTGCTTATGACAACTAAACAACACGGGTCACACCCAAATCCTCATCATCAGGTCCCTGTGTCTTTGCCTACACTGTTTCTGTGCTCACCTGACTCCATTTCTTCTCCATGAGTAGCCATGGGCAGGATCTGTGTTTCTCATATGTGCATGCCCAGTACCCATCCTAGAGCCTGGCACAGAGTAGGGCTGATGCCAATTCACTCAGAACAAGTATTTTTTGAGCATCTACTATGTGCTGTGCTTTATACCCACTGTTGGGGGATACAGTTTCTGCCCCCCGCCCCAGCCAGTAGCAAACACAGGCTTCAGACAGTGGATTGCAAGTATAATATGTGTTATGAAAAAAATTAGTTGAGTATATGCACACATGAAATATTCAGAGCAAAGTGAGACAGCAGCTCTGACTTAGGTCTCCTCTCTACTCCTGAGTTAGTAGATAAGCCACTTAGAAGAACCTCAGTTGGCCTCATTAACTTGGTTCTCTGATTGTTGGTAGGAGATACCTCTGTTCGATATTGTGTCTTGAC